AAATTTTAGTAATTTTAAATAAAATAAACTATTCCGTTCATGTAAAATAAAATAATAGAAGATAAAATCGATGAAAATAGTTTTCTCGTAAGAAATTCGTTTCAAACATCAAAAAGTTGCTCGTCTTTAGGCACGATTACATCTAATAAAAACAAAAAGAGGTATAAATATATCAAAGAATGACTGATGGCGGATTTTAGGCATATGTTGCCAAACTTTGAACTTGCTGGTTTTTGGGACTTCTAGTTTGTGCTTCGTGGCATCCGATCAGTATTGTTAAATACCCGGGTATTTATTTTCAAAGGAAAATTCCCTGGTTATATACCCGGGGGTATTTACCCAAGATGGGTATTTAGAGCTATTAATAAAATTTTATGCAAATTGAGTTGATGGTAGTGTTGCAAGCACTTCAAGAAAGCAGAGTGAATTATCGATACACCAAACTTATTTATAACATTTACAGGAATGCTACAATGACGATAAAATAGCATGAAAGTACTGACCATTTATACCCATTGGTCGTGGGGTAAGACAAGGCGATCAATGTTGAACCCAAATTGTTCACCACAGTTCTAGAGACTGCATTTAAACAACTGCATTGGACCCAAAAACTCATAAACATTGATGGCAAATACCTAAGTGATTTGCGCTACTCGGACGATATAGTCCTTATTTCGGATAGCCTTGGAGAGATGAAAGTGATGCTGAACGAAACAATAAACGCTAAATAATATATTAAGTTTTAATCATAATAATTTGATTATCTAAATTACGGCAGATTCGTCTGATGATAATACGTATTCGATCGTTGATAATTCTTGGTCTTCAAAGTTCATTTCATCATCTTGCTCTTCATTTTTTTCCGAATCTGTTATATTTTTACTTGTATCATTTTTATGTGTAGGTAGTGTTTGGGTATTTACCCTGGGCTGGGGTAAATATCCGGATAAATACCCATTTTATAAATACCTACCCGCCGGGTATTTACCCAACGCCTATCATTACATCCGATTGATGGGTTGCTCCTGGAATTTTCTTTGGGACGTGGCATTAGGGTATGAAGATGGCCGAGTACAAGCCATTCCAAATAGCGCAGATGGTTTCTTATTCGTTGGGTTGTATAGTTTTTTTAAGACGGCATATACAGAGTGTTAATTAATTATCGTACCCGACGTCATCATTGCAAGTATGCAACCAATATCACAGCATTGGTATTGCAATACGCGATTTGCGTATGATGCGTATTCCACTGTGATATTGGTTACATACTTGCAATGATGACGTCGGGTACGATAATTAATTAAAACACTGTATTTGGCTCTACCATATCTATTTGGCTACTGGCTCCACATATTTCAAAATTTTGTAGCAAAATGATCGTTTCCGATTCTAAGACTCATTTGTTATGATGCAACCCATTTGCGCGTCTATCTTCTGATACAATGTAACGAATTTATCAATAGGTGTTCTAATAAAATACACTAAATAAATATTTACTAGAATTCTGTAATTTGTGCCTCCTAACCATGTTGTGTTCCTAAATGGTAATCGCTATCGCTTATCAATTTCAACATAATTTTATAGTGTTCGTGAATTATGGACTGAAATAATTTCTGGAATTTCTTTAATACATTTATCTTTGTTACTTTTGACTTAAGCTCCAATGCGGACTACTAGCATTTTAGTGATTGGATTACGGAGAATATAAATTTGTTGATGAAACTTAAGCTGATAAACCTAATAAATGAAGCCTTGTCAAGCCAAGGATCGAGACATGTTCCCAGATTTTGGAAGGTAGCATAAGTTGTTTTGATTACGAAACCAAGTAAAAGTCCTAACGAAGTGTTTTCCTATAGACCAATATCGCTGCTTCAAGTGATGTCAAAGTTATTTAAAAGACTGTTAATGAAACAACTAAAACTATAAGAAACAAAACCGAATCATCAGTGTTTCATACAATCGATCAAGTTCACCCAATAGCCGATATGATGAAAAAAATCTCTAGAGGAACAGAAAGTCTGTTCTACAATCTTCATAGACGTAGCGCAGGCTTTAGAAGTTTGGTATGAGGGTTTGTACTACAAATTAAGAACATACATATACCCAAACAGTATTCGGAAACCTTAAAATCATATATTTTGGATACAACTTAGTGCAGAGTTAAGCAGTTAAAGAGTGATTAAAGCTGGAATGCTACAAGGGAGCGTGGCATTCGGCTAACCGGTCCTGTAACTTTTGTTTACGTGTGACATACCAGAGTTAAGGCCCGTACAGACACGTTTAGTAATTTAGTCGAGTAGCGAGTAATTTAGTAACTCGTTACGTGCGGACATTACAATTTAGAGAAATAGTTTAGTAAAACGATTTAGTCGAGTGGATCCATTTGATTCTATTTTTTCGGTCTAGTAGCGTACCCCCACTACTTACAACTACCACTAAACACGTGCGAACGCATAAATTTAGTTTTTTATTAACGGTTTATTCTAAGCACTGGAAGTAATCCGGTAATTTTTTGGGCTGTGGAAAATTTCTCCAATTACCTTCCATTATTGTACCTCTTACTTGATCTTCCAGGTCTTCAGAATGGCCCAAACTTGATTCATCTAGTCTTGAAGCCCGAGCCAGTTATGTAATTGGGAATTGACAGAAATCGGTTATGTAATTGGGAAGAATTGACTTTTCAAAGATTCTAAACCTACTGGCCATTATACCAAAAGCGTTTTCCACAATCGTCCTAGCACACGATACACGATAATACCTTCTGCTTAAGGGTTAAACCAAATAATAACCAAATATTCTTTTAACGCAAATGCATTATCCCCGACTAAGAAACAATTTTCTGGTAATAAACTATTCTCAATTCACCATTTTACTGAATCTGCTAATTCTAACTCCTTCAGGAGAGCATTTGATGCCCATAATGAAATTCTTCTTCCTATCTACGAGAAGCTAAATTTTGACAAACATGTTGATCATCTGGTTTCGAAATTGAAGTCGTCCTTTTATACAATTCTGAAGTTGAAGGGATGCCTCCCGCTATCGGGATTATTAGATGCGTATTATGCTCTCTGTTATTCGCATCTCTCATACAATATATTATTGTGGGGAAGATCGACGGAGTGGCGGCGTGCCTTTGTAGCACAGAAGCGCAGAGATTCGTATAGAGATACATTCAAGGCCAATTCGCTTCTTACTCTTCAAAGTATATATATATATATATATATAAATCAGTTGTTCATGTGCGGGAGCATGTCGATAGATACCCTGTCATGAAACACAATTACAAAACTAGATCTGATAGTTTGGTGTGCTTGGGCCATCATAAGACGGCTTTCTTTGAAAAGAGTCCACGGTATGATTTCCCAAAGCTCTATAATAATTTGCCATCTGCAATTAAAAAAGCTGATACGCTTAGCTCATTTAAACATAAAGTAAAACTTATGCTTGTAGAAAGGGCGTTTTACGACCGCCAGGAATACTTNCTTTCAGGTCTTCAGAATGGCCCAAACTTGATTCATCTAGTCTTGAAGCCCGAGCCAGTTATGTAATTGGAAATTGACAGTAATCGGTTATGTAATTGGGAAGAATTGGCTTTTCAAAGATTCTAAACCTACTGGCCATTATACCAAAAGCGTTTTCCACAATCGTCCTAGCACACGATAAACGATAATACCTTCTGCTTAAGGGTTAAACCAAATAATAACCAAATATTCTTTTAACGTAAATGCATTATCCCCGATTAAGAAATAATTTTCTGGTAATAAACCATTCTCAATTCACCATTCTACTGAATATGCTAATTCTAACTCCTTCAGAAGAGTATTTGATGCCCCTAATGAAATTCTTCTTCAATTTCCTTTATAAGCATGTCAATTATATTTCTTATAATATTGAATTGTACTACTAAAATGTTTTGGGCGTATTAAATGTGGACAGTTGCCATCTAGTAAACGTTCCAGCGGTAAGTAGCTACTCGCTACTCGACTAAATTACTAAACGTGTCTGTACAAGCCTTTAGAAGAAAACACTATTGCCACTTTTGCAGATAACACAGCCATTCTAGCGGTAGGAACTACTTGCAAAGAAGTGGCTGATAAGCCGCAAATATCAGTAAATAAAATACATTCATGGACCAGATTGGTGAATAAATTGAATTGAAAATAAATCCATCTACGTTAATTTTACAAATAAAGGAATAGACACTCTCTCAGTCAAAATAAATGGTTCTATATGTAACATCAGCAAAGTATCTGAGCATCACTTAGACGTGAGACTGCGCTGGAAAGTCTGCGTCAAAAAGAAAAAAGAGCAACTTGGCATTGGATATAAAAAATTGTGTTGAATGGTTAGAAGAAAGTTCACATTAACTATTCACAATATGTTATTAATATAGAAACGAATATTGAGACAAGTATGGGTATATGGATTCATGGCATATATGGAGCAGAATCTATCATCAAGAGCTAGGTATGGAAACTCTATCTGAAATAATTAAGAAGATTATCAATTATTAGACATGAACAGAGACTACATAGTTGTATGAATTTTGAGGCAATTCAGTTCATCGATTACACCGGATTATAGAGATGACTTAAAAGGACAAAACTATTTGATAGTGTTGTGTGGTGTCATTTGCATATTAGTATAGTGCATTGATTGTTAGACAAAATAAGAGGACACCATAGTGTAGGTTCTTAGAGTTACATAGAGTCACATATTGAAATCTATAGATATTGTTCCAATGATAATGTTTATTATAAATAAACGGACACTTTTTCCTTTATCAAAATAAAGAAAATTTTCGAGTTTCATTCAGTAGTATATATCTAGGATTTCTGAATGAAGATATTTGATGATAGTCTCCGCAACAAGAAGGTCCAATTTATGTTATGTTTTGATGATAAACGTGTTTTTTGAAAAGAACTTGGATCAGTATATGTTGTAAAAGCGTCGCGACGCCTCGCTCTCTGACGTCGATCCTGTTTTAGCTCGGGCGACCAGATGCGCCTCAATTCGAACAGTATGAGTTGTAGCATGTTGTGCGGTGCAGTAGTCGCATTTCTAATGGGAACCTAGGTTGCGTGTCGTCGTGTGTGTGCTCCACGATGAGGATCGTAACAGGTCAGTTGTGTTTTCATGAAAACAGGCAAAAAAAAATCGACGGCGTTTCAGAAATTTCCTTCCGCGCTTTCCACGAAGCGCCCAAAAATAAAACGCGGCCCGGAACCTGAAACAGTGTCGAAAAAATGTTATTTATACGCGGTGTACGGTTTATTTTGGAGTTATCGGTGCCAAGAACTTTTTTGATTTTCTAATTCAAATCCAAAAATTTCATATAAAATCAAACATTCCAAAAAAATTGATTTTCGATTATTTTATTTTTAGATGGTACTATTTATTCTTAATTTCTAAAGTAACACAAAACTTTTTATTTTGTATGTTCTCGTTCTATACTATGCTCTGATGATTTTCGTAAGGAGACACTTGTGTAGGTATACACCTGTAACGCGATATTTTAGGAGAAAAAACAATAAACAACCATGAGTTATTGCTTGAGCTTCGGTTACACACCGGTGTTAACACATTAAATGACGACAGGTATTGGTGTTTCGTTGTAATATACATCTTTTTCGAACGAGTTGCAACCACAACCCATTTAGCTGCCGATATAGTTTTGAAGTCTGTTGGACTAAAACCAAACGTGACTCATGTATTTGTCGAGGTGGAACGTTAGTTGTACAACCAATTAATGTATTCTTGTTCTGTCGGTGATGCAAATTGGCAATAGTTTAAAAATTAGTTTAAAATGTATCCAAAAATTAAATATTTAAGTCATTTTGATATTTTGTTAATGATGATATTTTTAGGACCACCAATCCTTGAAAAATTACCACCAAGATTTCGAGACGAAGGCACTCAATGTGTTATAGCTTCCGAAGGACAATCAGCTGTTCTTTCAGCTGAACTTTTCGAATTAACTCCCGATACCGAATTATTTTGGTAAGTTACAATTAAAACACTTCCTCATCCTAATCCTGGTTTTTGTTTCTATTTTCTTTTAAATTCTTTTTTAATTTATTTAAAAAATTTGATTTTGAGATGTGCTTGTTAAAATTTAAATGAATCCTGAAGCGAACCGCCTCCGCACGTTGTTGGCTTTAAAACTGAACTCGAAACGTTTGGCTTCGAAAATTTAGGAGTGCTGCTGACGTTTTGTGGGTTGGCAAATAGCAAAAATACCGATGGACGACGACTGTTTGAACGCGTCGGCGTCGCGGCGTTTCGAAAAACGAAGTAGTTGTTGCGGTGGCGTCGAGACGGACAGCGCTTTTGTTTTAACTCTTAACACAGTTCGGTAATAAAAAGAACTTTTCGACCCGAGCTTTTCTTAATATGAAGCAACACGTGTTTATTTGATTTATTTGATTAAAAACATCAAATTTTTGTGGCTTAATTTGACTTTTTTTGATTTTTGTTTTTATTCTAAAGATATGTTTTTTGATATTTTTAGATTAAAATTTTTTCAACTAGATTTACAAGCAGAAAATTTTGTAATTCATTCACGCTGACGCACTAAGCCCTCGGGATTATTTTTAGGTCCCAATCCGAAAAGTTTCGACCAATTTAAAATAATGCCGTTAAACTTTCATTTGACGAACATAGTTTGTGTTAAATTTAAGTGGATCTTTAAGTGATCATGGGACAAAAAGTGAGCAAATGTTGTCAGTGTTCGAATGAGGTGGATGGAAAAAGATTCGCCAGTGTTAGTTCTGAATGGTAAGAATTTAAAGAAAAATTAAAAAGAAAACAGGAACAAAAACTCTAGCAGAAAATAAACTTTTCATTCATTTACTTTTACAACCCTAGATACTTAAAAGAGCTTCACTTTGATGTGTGCCAAAAATAAAGTTGTCGCTTGTTTACGAAATAGCTATTGGCAATCTAAATCGTTAGCAAGTTGGCGCCTTTAATCTTCTCTACACAGATCATGAAATACAACATTTTTTCAAGTAGTAAATTTTTATCAATTCTTTTAAATAAAGCTGTTATTTTTATTAGGGCCATTTTAATATCAACTCAATCTTTTTTCCACATTATCAAAACTCATAAATTTATTTGAATACAGTAAAACCTCGATATCACGGATTAACACGGAGAAGGAAGTGTCCGTTATAACCAAAAGAAAAATTGAGTAATTTCTAATTTACACTTTAAACTGTTGAATGAATAACTTTAAAGCACACAAATTCAGACAAATATCCACACCGTTGCGTTTAATCTACATGGCTTTATATTTATACTATTAAAACTAGAAGTAACACTATCACTAGAACACCTAGAACTTAGCCGTCTTAAGAAACGTACGGCTAAATCCGAATGATTCTAATTCCAGGTATAGTCTTAGTTCTAGTAACAGTGTTAGTGTAAAACTAGAACTAACATTACACCTAGAACTAGAAACAGTCGGGTTTAACCGTCTTAAGAGACGTACGGCTAAATCCGAATGATTCTAGTTCCAGGTATCGCATTAGTTCTAGTAACAGTACTAGTGTAAAACTAGAAATAACACTAGACCTAGAACTAGAAACAGTCGGGTTTAGCTGTCTCTACAGACGCACGACTAAACCCGAAACTTTCTAGTTCTAGGTTTAGTGTTAGTTCTAGTTTTATTTCAATAAAAATTTGTAACAACCTAACTCCGATTAACAACTAGAACTAACACTAACACTGTCTCTAAAACTAACTCTAGACCTAGAACTAGAAACATTCGGGTTTAGCTGTCTTAAGAGACGTACAGCTAAATCCGAATGATTCTAGTGCTAGGTACAGTGTTAGTTCTAGTAATAGTGATAGTGTAAAACTAGAACTAACACTAGACCTAGAAATAGTCGGGTTTAGAAATCTTCACAGACGCACGGCTAAACCTGAAACTTTCTAGTTTTATGTCTAGTGTTAGTTTTAGTTTTATTTCATTAAAAATTTGCAACAACCTAACACTGATTGACAACTAGAACTAACACTAGACCTAGAACTGAAAACATTCGGGTTTAGCTGTGCGTGTCTCAAGACGGCTAAACTCGAATGTTTCCAGTCCTATGTCTAGTGTTAGTGCAACTTATAGTTCAATAAAAATATACAATTCGGGGAATACCCCGAGTTTATCTAAGAATATGGAATAAAGCAACTTGGGGAATAACCCAAGTTGGATAATATTAATAGTATTTTATAGTTTATCCATTATATCGAGGTTACATCGAAACAGTAACTTCGATATGATCATTTTTAAAATTGAAGTTCCTTCAAATCTTTTACTAATGTGTCAGTCCTATAAACAAGTTCAAAAGACCTCACACGTCTTGGCATACATCAACAGTTTGATCACACTGACCCAGTGTGCCCATAACGTTAATGCAATGATATTAATAGATTTAGTTACAAAATGCGTATGTTATATTTTTCCTTCCATTTATCTATTTTTTTATCTAATTTCTTAACTAAAATGATTAAACAGAAAACAAAAAAATGAAACATTTAGTAAAGACCTTATTTCTTTTCTTGAGTTTACCTGGCATTAGTCCATCTAGTTTTGGTGGACATGATCTTGATCTAGAAATCTGCATATGTCACATTTAAGATTCGGGGCCAGAAAGTGGTTGAAAATACGTTTTCTGCTATTAACGTTAAGATTCGCGCGGCGATAAAAATACCGCGTGTAACACAATTAGAAAATTTTGTAATCATGGCGGATCGTTTTTGGCATGATTCCAAAATCACCACGGATAATCCACCGATGGGTGTTTGGAATAATTTCAAATTACTATTACGTCTTTGGTTTACTATGATCGCGTTGGACGAGCGCTTATATTTTGACAGGGTATTAAGTTAAATTGATTCACTTTGGGGTTTGTAGAAATATTTATAAGATTATAACGAGTTTAAAGCGAGATTGAAAATATTTTAAGATGTTATGAAATTAAAATTATTTTAGCAAACAATTTAATTTTATTAATTGTAATAATAATCGAATATACTAATAATAATTTCGTATTGTCGATGATCTGTAAAATAACTTGGCTTATTTCTCATTAAACCCTAATAGTTTATTTTTATCTAATACTGAACTCGCAGATTCATTAACCAAATGAACCACTATTATTAGACTAAGTTGTCTGGGGATAAAGGGATTGGGATCACGCTTTAAAATGCAGTTATTATAAGTAGTTCGATTAGCTCTTCCATACACATTTCAAAACTTCACAAGTATGTGGAATTGTGTTGAAAAAATAAAACGAAATCGTTCAAAATCATACAGGTTATTCCTAAAATTTCTTCCTACAAAATTAGATTCTTCAACTTTTTTTAAAGGTCGAAAGATGGAGATCGTTTTGTACCAGAACCACGCCACCGTCAACAAATCGACAAAAACACCGTCCAATTGGTGCTGGATAGCATCAACAAGGAGGACTCAGGAATTTACAGTCTCAGCGCTAAAACTTCAGCTGGAACAACCACCAGAGATTTAGAGCTGAGAGTGACCAGTCCAGATGGAGGCGAAGAAGACCAACCACCAGCGTTTTTGAGACGATTAAACGATCTTTCCGTGAAGGTCGGTACGCGAACGCGGTTTTTAGTTGAAATTAAAACCGCGTCTGAAGTAACGGTAAGAAAACCTATATCTTTAAGTAGTTTTGTATTATTCTGTTTTTCCACGTGGTTGAAGTTTTTGAGTTGAACTTGAAAACATTTTAAAGGTAAATATAACTCACAAAATATATGACATAAGACCCTCCGAGTTCTTCTCGAACGCTTCTAGAACGAAAATAACAAACCGTGGCTATGTTTATCTAAAGTTTGGCACGAATTGTTTTGAACTTCCTGTATAAATAAAATGGATGTATTGAAGTTATCCAGATCATAAACACCACACCGGCGTTATGATTTTCTTCTTAATTTAATTCTTTCTCCCAAATCATCTAGATCGAATGGTTTCACAACGATACACCAGTAAAAGAAGGCGAAAGATACCGTTTTATAAACGAAGGAGGATTTCATTGCGTCGATGTAGCACCTGTAGTCGCCAAAGACGCAGGAAAATGGACTTGCACCGCTCAAAATCTCACGGGACATACTTCGAGCACGTGCAATTTGAACGTTTTAGTTCCAAAAACATACAAAGCACCCGAATTTTTGGAAGAGCTCCAAGCGATTCTTACGGATCAAGGAACCGTTTCGCTAGAATGCAAAGTGGTTGGTGTTCCAACTCCGCTTTTGCACTGGTTCAAAGATGGAAATGAAATCAAAGCAGGAGACGCCTTCGCGCTAACCGCGAATCCCGATGATCCGACCACGTTGGGAACGTACACTTGCGAAGCTGTTAACTGCATGGGAAAGGTTTACTCTAGTTCAAGAGTTCATGTTGTTGGACGAGGAAGTAGAGAAGGATCTTTAAAACCCGCTGATAGGTAAGAATATTATTGAGGGATTTGTGACGATTTTTTACTTGGTATTCAATTTAAATACTGAAAGGTTAATTCATGACAGAATTTCGGCTAATTTTATCTTGGGGAAATCTATAAACATTAATTCCAATGAGAGAGCACATCTCGAGAAAAACAGCCTAAAGATCAACTTAAAAACATTTTCACCTGCTCTATTTATTTTATATATATCCACTTTCACTTCTATGTTGTGGAAGAAACGATTATGTTGAGGCAACACTAAGTTATACAACAGTTGATAAATATCATACAAATATTGATCTTCCTCATTCTTCTTGACGCAAGCCAATTCGTCTTGGGATCTTGGGATGAGGATGTCTAACACTTCTTTCACCGCTTAGGGAGCCGCCTTATTGGTCGCCTTGTGTGGTTTTCCATTCCTAGTGATTTTGACTAATCTGTTCTTATCTATCTTGGATACATACTTATTCCAATCTTTCCTTCTCGCCCACATCACATCTATGGTACCACACTTATCTCAAATATCGGTGCTTCTACGATGACCAATCAGCGAATTACCAGTTATTGTTCCCAGGATTTTTATCTCATTTGCTACTCTTGCTACCTCTGCAAATATCATCACAGGCCTCACGTATGCCTTATACAGGCGGTTTCAAAAAAAAGGTGGCCTCGTTGCTAGTATGAGTAGAACACTGAAAAATAAGTGGAGTTTCGTAAAAAAATTTTGTAACAGCATCAAAGTATTTTCACACTGTATCTCGAATAGGTACATACAGTGTGAAAGTACTTTCCAAAGACAATCAATATTATTATCATTGGTAATATTTCCTAGGTAGATTTATCTTTGAACTGTCGTATCTTTCTTTTTAATGTCGAGTATCGCTTTTTGCAATTTTTTGCTTGTAATTAATCGTGATTCCCAGTTGGTTTGTTTCCCATTAAAATTTCCACCAACAATGAATCTATTATTTACCTGTCTTACTCAAAAGTGTAAATGCTGATGTTTCTTGATTGAATGTCCTGGAGAACTATACCTACATCGCTATTATGGTGATATCATAACTTTTTATTTTCACGCTTATACATGTAGGTTAAATCTCATTAGTCTTATATTCTAGTTTTTGTGATGCAAGATATTTCTTTAAGGACAGCACTTCCTCTTTTGGCAGCGTTAACAGTGTGGCCGCCATGATGTACTTTATAACCTTTAAATTTGATATGTTATTGATTGGTGAAATGAGTTTCTCATATTAAGCACACGCCAATGTTATTAATTTTTAAGACTTGTAGTTTTTCTAAATGTTGCAAGGCTTTATTAGCATTCTATGACATTATTCTAAAATTAGTAGCAATTTCTTTACTTTGGACGAGCTCTTGTATTGCTATGTTCAAGTCTAGTTAATCGCTCATAAACGTTTTTGAACGTTTATCTGTTTTATTCATTAGGTTAAAATTAGCTGTAAGATCCACTAGCATATTTTGATGAGGTATCTTTTCCTTGTTCGTATTACAGTTTGAATCACCAGAAACAGCTTGACTGTAGCATTTATCTGTAGATTTAATCTTAAATCAACAAAAACCTCAAAATAAAAATAAGAACTAACATGGTGGTCAATCTGAATAAACAAAAAGAAAAAAGATATAAAAGAACAGATTGCAAAGTAAATAATTAGCAAGAGAAGAGAGGTGAAACGTATCATGAAGAAAATAGTTTTAGATGTAGGCTTTAATAAAATATAATTGACGTGGCAAATCTCCTCAAGATGATTACATTTAGTAATCGAAACTGGTAGAGCCGAACAATTAAATAATCCATCTTAACACACATAATAGTTTTATTTGAATCGAATTAATCTTAGTTGATTCACTGCTATTCGATTTTTGGCTACTTGCTTTTTGATTTTTTTTGTGCATAACAAAATTAATTTTAATTTCTGTAGTTCTATTGCTACAATACATCCACAATAACTGGCTGGATTACTTTGACTGTTGTTAACATATTTTGTGGCTTATTACCTACTTTTGTAAGATACTTTGTACCACACTAAATGCATCTTTCCTCTTTGATACAATAGCCTTGTGTGTGACAGAATCCTTAAGCGCTTGATGATATGTATAAATTAGTGATGGAACGGATAGTGATTTTGCGAAAAGACGGATACCGGTGTTTTGACATCCCCTTCGGCCGGATATCCGGTTATCCGACATATCTATCCGGCCATTATGGTTAAAATTTCTGGTGCATTTCTGAAGTGATACCCTATATTGCCACATTATTGCGATATTTGAATAAAAAAAATGAATAAAAATTGCAACATCGCAAATTTTATTAAAACTTCAAATATTGTTTTCTCAAAAACTAAAAGTTATTTTTCGAAACGTGTTGGTTCATTGGAAAGAGAACACTTTTATTAACACTTTGGGAAATTTTCATACTCATATTCCAAGAA